CAGTTTTAACACAATTTATTCTCTTCGGTAGCTGCGTATGACACGTTGTATATTGTCGCTGTGTGTAATTACATGTTACAATATAGAGAACATTACGTGTGTAAAGCCGCTAGTTGAATTTCAACGCAATAGGCTACAGCGCTTCATCAGCAAGATTAATGTGGATAATTATGACAAAGAGAGGTAAATGATCGTGCAGTATTTCTTAATAACAAAATTGATAATTATTAATTTACGTTAAATTTCTCTCTCTCTCTCTCTCTCTCTCTCTCTCTCTCTCTCTCTCTCTCTTTCTCTTTCTGTCTATCTGTCTCTCTTATTCTCTCATTCTTATAAAAAATATAGATTTTATGATAATTACATGTAAAATATATGGCTATCAACTATAATAATTAAATATATCACAAAATTAAATCTTGACTAAAATAATTACGGAAACAACTTGCAAACAAAGTGTATTATTACGTTAGAGATATATTATTAACGTATAACAGATAAATATATATATTACTTGATAATATATATATATATATATTATAGAATATATTATTATATATATTTTTATAATACACTTGTGGAACAACATATTTTGATCCTAGATTTGGATCTCCTCTGTAGCGTATATTTTTACAACAGTATAAATATATAAATAAAGTTAGGTAGATATATAGTTTTTCGAGTTCTCGTCTACGCGAATATAAATAGTTTTCAATAACAAAAACGCATGTAAATGCTTGCTCGAATTTTTGAAACAACGCGCGCGTATTTGTTTAAGCCGTTTGACGACTTCTCAACTTGCCGCGGCGCAACTACCGCACTACATTTACGGCCGATTATCGATCATCATCGGCAGAGGCGGCCGCGAGTATAGATTAATTTCAAACTCGAATCAATTATACCTACCCTATACGGTAGTGACGGCGGCGGAGGCAGGCCAACCGTGCGAGCGGTACGCCGAATCTAATTAGTAATGCCGATTTAGCAAACCCTAATTGCGCGCCAACATATCACCCGCAATTTATGCGACGACCGTGTTATGAATCACCACGCCTAGGCGGCCGCGTTTTCGAGCCGCCGTGTATATACATATACCCGCGGCGATTTGATATTAATTTCCATACTTATTACGCGATCGTTGTTTGTGTAACACGCGACGACCCGCACTCGCGTCCTCTGTCATTATCGCGAATACAGGAATCCTTTCTCCCGGACATTGAGAGATGCTCTCTCTCTCTCTCTCTCTCTCTCTCTTTCTTTCTCTCCCGCAACGCGCAATTAATGTCACGACATTATTAACACAGTAATGGCCGATGAGATCTTTTTGTGGCATTTAGCCATTAATTGTGCGGAATGTGCGCGCTTCGTGTACGTTGCATAGTCATCGCTAGTTGCACGTCTTACTACGGCGCGTCATGTCGTTCGATCAATAATTAACTCTTGCGCAGAGAGAAATGTTCTGTCTTTAACACACTGAATCACAAACTTTTTTTGTGATTCGCAAAGAGTTACCGGCTAATTTTATTTAAAAATAAATAAATAAATAAATAATGATTTTTTACATCTTATTACTCTGAAAAAGCGCGTCATGTTGCAATATAATAATGATTTATATCTTTTTTATAAATATAATTTGGAAACGGATGAGATAATAAACACTGCGTCGCAAAAAACGACTATTCCACCCGCGGTGGAGATTATCATTGTCATCGAATTTACGCAAATTAAGAGCGATATCGCGTTTTCGCTCGCGACATTTGAAAAACATATCGCGCGTTATCGTGACGCGCCACGCGAGTTTTCGCAAAATCGCACGACAATGCATTTATTATACGCGTCTCGCTGGACATTTAAACATTTGATTTTGCACTCGACGACAGCGGAATATCGCAGACGTATCCGGGATCTTCGCCGCGAATATACATGGTGATCGATATACACATCCTGGCAACGTCGATGACATTGCTAATAAACACAACACGCAAATCACCCAGGTTCACGATGATTATTAATTATTGTTTGAGCGTTAATTATGCGACACCGCCACTTTCCGACGTATCCGGACGTCCTCCGGGATAATTAATGATATTAGTATCGAGGATGCTTGTTGCTAATTGGTTATATTAATTAAGCCTGAACTTGTAACACGCGCATATTCTACGGAATTGCGTCTACTTTGTTCTTTTGACGTTTAACCACGCGTGTAACTTTTCTTTGTGTGCGTGAACAGTGTGAAATTAAGATTCCCGCGGATTTAAGCGCGGATTTAATATAATAAGTTGTTAAGTCAGCGCGCTCACGTTTGTAAATTTTTACAAAATTTTCGCGTCGCTCGTTCGTCCACAATATTTGTTTATTTTAAATCATCTCCTTTTGCAACTTCCTATAATTTATTTAAATTTTTTCTTCGCCGCTTAATTGTCTACAATTACTTTTCACACACTTCGTCAAATTTAACACGGTAGTAACGCATTTACGCAGTCTCTCTCTCTCTCTTTCTCTCTCTCTCTCTCCCTCTTTCCTGAGTTATTATTCACTATCATTATGTAATGATAAGTAATATTCCGCGTACGCATGCACAAAGGATAAAGTTCCGGCATTAACAATAATGCTCTTACATGACATCAAAACGATATCATGAAAGCATTAATTCTCACTGTTATGTCACTGTTATGTCGACCCATTGACGCGTCAGAATTGTATGCAAATGTTACAATAATACCTCGCTTTTCGCACGACTCTAAAACTCATTAACCATGCATATGTCAAATATATGCCTACGCATCGACTTCAACAACCGTTGAATAACGGCAACTTCGTGTGTTTTGTTGAATAACAAATTATTCATCGGATAATATGGGAAATTCCGACGCGAAGAATCGGCATAAACTATAATAAACCAATTAGATCTCAAAAAAGGTAACACGTGCGCGCGCGTGTGTGTGTGTGTGTGTGTGTGTGTGTGCAGTGTTCTACTTTAATGTAAAGGCAAAAGAGAAAACTTTTCGAAGTTTTGCAGGTGGAGTGTAAGAAACTCGCACTAAACTCGTTTGCCGCGAGGCTTCGTAAAAACATCCCCGCAAATATATACGCTCTATTCTGTGTTTAAATTTAAGAAAAATTAAGTAAAAAAAATAAAAGACTCAAGTCTTGCTACTTCTCTCGGCGGGAGTTTTCTATCCGAACCGGTTTTCTATCGGTTCTCACTGTGTCTTTTCGTGCTATCATAATTTCATATAATCGGAAAGTTTGACAACGATGAGAAAGGAAACTTGCAACGATCCAATTTGCCACCATCGAGTCTCGAATGTTCGTGCGGAAAACGTCGCTCGAATCCGAGACACTGCGCCGAGTGTTCCTCCCCCGCGCCCCTCCCTCTCCAAGATCCGAATATTTGTCTGTTCAAACATTTCATCGGGAATCTATGATAATTTCAGTTCTTGTTCTTCGGGTCCTTTTCGCAAAGATAGTAATCCTAAGTAATGTTACACACACACACACACACACACATGTATATAACAACTGCGGAACGATGTGCGATGTCGTCACTCTGGATTGAGTTTGCTTCAAACGCGAGTGAACAATGTTTTTTCGCTACTTTACTTCTCATGTTACATGAAAAAAACTAAAATTAGTCCGATCATGCACGTGAGAAATTTTTTCTCGAGAAGTTTATAATCTACTGAAATTTTCGTTTTTTTTTTTTTTTTGACGGTGAAAAGTGACTTCACAATTTTTTTGGTCTCTAAATTACATTAGACGTGACGCACACGCACGCACACATACACACACATACACACATATATACCAATGACTTTAATATCTCGGTTGAATTTCTTCCAGGCTATCACGAAGGAAGTTCGTTTCAAACGTTACTCCGGGGACACATTCGCCGTCGCTTGTCGGTATTGCCCGAGCGACGAAAAGAAATAAAAATTATCGTCATCATGTGTGAATACCGTCGGCAGAATGGCTTGTCATGCGAGCACTCCGTCTCCTCGCATTATTATTTCCTTTACCATGCCGCGGGATGACTTTTATAGAGTCTATCTTTCCATAACACTTTGTTTCCCGTACATAACACCGCGATTTCCGCGCCGCCCGATATCGTTTTTCCTATCGTTTCGTATAGTTTTTCCTCTATCGTATTTCTCAGGTTTATGATCTCCTAAGATCGTTTCAACGATATCAAGCTTTTAAGGTAAAATTTTCCTTCTTTTTCCACCCTTCTCTTAGAAAATATATTTGTTTGAGTAATTTAATTCCAATTTTAATATATCCCGTCATTATCTTTTACGTAGCAGATGTTCATTTTTTAAATAAACCTTTAAGTAATAAAAAAAACTTTACAAAAAAAAACTTTTTTTCAAAGTCTTTTTAATAAAAACTTTCGTTCTGTTTGACAAGGTCAGAAAAACGAGAAGCACTTCCAATCAGCATTTAAACGTTTGACCCGAGCTCGTGCTTTTTCCGTGTCTTTTTATCTCGTCAAAAAACTTAGCTCATAAACTGCAAAGCGATTAACTGCGCGCTGTCAACGCAACCGGTACGTCGTCTTGTTTCGAAGATGACGCGGGGAAAACGCGCGAAACAACGGCGATCTTCCCTGTTACAGAGCTGAATGTATTTCAGCTGAACGCTCAGCGCTTTAACGCCGACAGAACAAACGGCCGACGTCCACGGGCGGACGCATCTTCTCTACAACTTGGTAATTGGCTTGCAGTGCGGGACATTCAACTCGTGAATTTCCCAGGTAAAACCGACGCAGTGACGTATGTGCGATATTTGAACCGGAAATAGTTTCGGTGGAATGTTTGTGTCTCGGCAGATAATATGTATATGCCATACAATACCTATATTGTATAATTAATGGCTTAATTTTTAACGTTAATTATTTATCACGTCAGAACAAATTAAGCTATTATAATTAAAAAATGTAAGCTATTATAATTAAAAATAAAAAAACTATTAAACTATATTAAACTATTAAAAAATTTAAGCTGTTAATCTTCTATCGAGAAAGACGTCATGGTGTTTCCTCGCGCTTGAGACATCGACTGGAAGAGCATCTTCGCTTGTAGATTTTTTACACAAAATTTGTAGAGGAGTTCCGAGTCGTAGAAGCGTTCGATGTCGTCGATGTCGTAATAACGTGCGGCCTCGTTTCTCGTCAGTAGTAGAGAATTCCACGGCGCCCATTCGAGCTCTCGTCGGAAACGTATCAGCTTCAGGTCGTCAAGATTGTCGCATTCGGAGATGCCGGATTTGCCATGCCAGATTTCGTTCACCAAACGACAAATCACCTTGATTCCGGTGACAAAGGCCAAACTGCTGTAACAACCCAACTTGGCTTCGTCTTGTCTAATTTCCAATAGCATCTTTTCGTAAGGTTCGTACACGACACGGGGATCCCGTCGAATCCGCACGGATATGCAGTAGAGGCAAGAGGACGATCGCAGTCGCCGTTCACGCGGAAATTTTTCAAGTGGTAAAAGTCTACCGCAGGTCCGACAGAGTCGCGTGATACTGGTTTCCGACCAACCGAATCGATACGCGTCTTCTTCGAGGTCGCCTGGAAAAACATACAAATAATTAATTAATCTTGAATTTTTACGCACATTTAAATATATTGATTTACTTATAAACTTTACTGTTAATATTTACTTACTAATAATATTTACTAATAATACTTAATATTTACTGTTAAATATTTACTTCAATATTTTAATATTTTAATTCAATGTGTGCAAAACTATGTTTGTTTAATATTTAATAATGAAAAAATCCTCGTTTACAAATCTCTGTTGTCGCATTTTGTTTTAAATCATTAAAAAAGTTGTACACAAATAATACACGATAAATCATGAAGTTATTGGAAGACATAAAGTCTGGTTTGCAAACCTTGTAGAGCGTTGCGCGCCAGTTTGAGGAAACTCAGTCTCAGTCGATTCCTGAGCCAGATGAGTCTGCTCGTATCGATATCGCACATCAAGAGATTCAGTTCCTGATCGATCAAATAAATGAGTTCTTGCGACTGGTCGCATGTGTGCATATCGGCGATGCGTTTCAGGCTGTGCAGCAGATTGATCCGTTCCAGAACAGGCAGATCCTCGTCGGCCAGCGAGGTGTACATGTCTCGGTATTGTCGAGCTCGTTGTACGCGCAAAGTGTCCATCTGAATCGGTCGACCACGACTATCCTGCCAGACGACCGATCTGGATAACTCGTCCAGGAATCTGCATTGCTTTCGTTCCCTGCACTTGAAACGAATGGCGTTTTTCATGGCGCTTATCGTACGCAACAGTTTGACCTCCTTTGACAGGATCACGCCACAAGCGGCGATTCTCGAAGTTCCGAGAGGCATGCGACTCGTCCGCTCGGTCTCGAGAATTCGCCAACGATCGAGAAGATTGTAAAGCAACTGGAAATCCGAATTGGTCTGCGGTAAGCAGCGATTCACTATTACGAAGTCGGTATTGCTGTAAAGGGACAGCGCATGGGACTGTTTCGCGCGTTCGCTCACATTCGTTGCATCGTATTCAAGGACGTTATTCTCTTCGAGAACGTTTGTTCCGACCGCTGTTCTGGCTCGATGTGCTCTGTAACGCGAACTGTTATGTAGCTAATTGTATACCGGGCCTCAGGTTTAGATAAAATTTGATGTTACTACAATGATATTAAGTTAAATTATGCTTTTTTTCTCTTGCTAAAAAATTTATTAAAACCTGTTTGTTAAAACACATTAAAGAAATTTCTATGTAAAGAAATTACAGAGTTATTATTATTAAAAAATAATTATTATTTTAAAAATAACTGTCAAACTGTAGACGCAATTTCATTTTTTTTTCTTTTTACAAATACGTTTTCTACTCGCATAGCAAAACTTTTATTACCTGTAACATCTTTGTATTTTAACAACACTGTTGAGAATTCTGCTATCATCTCGATGCGATAACGGTTCGATTTTCTTGATTGCCTCTGTCGTATCGAAAGAAGAGCGACCGGACACGATAATTCTGTCGAGCGTATCGGGCAGGAATTCCACTTGCACCGCCCGGTCGTGAACGACACCGGTGACCGCGTCCGCGACCGCAACGGTCTGCGTGATTCTACTTTTCCTGCCGTCGTGTGTTTGCGTGCAGGCATTGTGATAGACCAGACCGGTGAGGATGTTTCTCCATCCGCCAAGCGAAGGCTTTGTTCTTGGACTATGGTTCTCTGCTTCCGCAACGACCGCCATAGTGAAGTGGTAACTGGCCCACTGGATTTAATCGTCTATTCTTACAAGAGAAAAGGCTTTCGGATAAGATTAAAAACGAAGAAACGATATCGCCGTTCTCCTAAATAATAAATATCATTTGAGATTTATATTCACATATTTCGTTCTAGTTTGATGAATAATTTTCAGAAACAGAACAAAAAAGTGTGTTACTTAAAAAATAAAATTTTAAAATACGCAGTAAAATTGAGAAGTTCTAATAATGTTATTTTATAATTCCAAAACTTAACTACTTGTTGCTATTTATAACAGGTACATTTTGTATTTTCGAAAACAGAAGCGTTATTTAATAAAAATTAAACATGAATGTTATATTAGAATTTAATAATAATACCACGTATAAAATTACCATCGAAAGAGAGAGATTGTGTATGAGAGTAAAATGTAATTTAATTTGCTTGGTAAATCTCTGTATTCAAGTGCCACAAAAAATACTGTGTATATATAAATTCTATGACATCATGCGTGAAGAATTTTATTAAATTCACGCTCCAAGTGTGGCGAGAGAAAACGTTTCTCTCTTAGAGTGTATAATTTATACCTTTCAGATAGGCGAGATTTTGATGGAAAGCTGAATTTTATGAAGTACAGAATCTTTCCCAAAGCACCCACACATTGATAATCGATGAAACGGAAAATGGTTCCATATTATATGAAGGCTAATGCTTTTTTAACAACTTGGCGACTCTACTTCTTTTTTACATCAAAACCGTTTTACGGACGACTAAAGAAGAAGAAAAAGATCCGTATGCTGCCCCCGTTGTCAAGTCGTATTGTACATGTAACAACATCGAACGTATAAGAGTTGCTGCTGTCGCAACGCGGTAAAATCAAGATGGCAAATAAGGTTTTGATCGATTGCGCGGTTTATGTAATAACAACAAATACACATATTGTTGTAAAAACAAAAATGTGGCGGACTTACCGAGACCAACTTGAAGCGTTTTATTGATGTTCAACGTCACAAATATGTTCACAAGCACTCAGTAATTTTAATAACATTTTACCAGATGTGTGTGCGTATATATTTTTAAATATTATACTTTTAAATAAAATATGAACATTGCAATTATCTTGTTTATATCGGGGAAAGCTCTTATTGCGAAATGGTTGTGTATTTTACGGAAGATCGAACGATTTAGTCGGATTAAACTGAGTTGTGGGGAGGGCGAGGAAGGGTGGAAGCGCAAAGTAGTCCGCGTATCATCTATCAAATGTTGACACTTGTGATCCAAAGGAATGAGTAGATCACATCGAAGAGCAGCTTTTATTGCGACCTAAGGTACACTTCCGTGTGCGCGAGAGACTCCGATGCCGCAAGACGGGCACCTGAAAGCTCAAAGCCTTAAATTCGACGTTGCCAATGGCAACGTGCTTGGTCGATCGGTCAAAAGCCCTTTTCTTGTCCATTATTTTTCGATTTTACGTTACTCGTGGCTGGAAAGCTTCGTGAGGACGAAGATATGAATTCAAACCGGTATGACGAGGATTATGCGCCTGTGGGACAGAGAATTTTCGACGGCATTCATACATCTTCGCTTTCCGCAAGATGCGTATATCCTATATAGCGCCGTAGGAGCCAAACCCGACCCTTAAAATCTCAAGTGTATCATATACGACATACAATATATACGCTTTCGACATGTGGATTCCGCCGCGGCGCTGCTTCCTCTCAGTTTCTTTCGCGTTCCGTAACAATGAAAAAAGAAAGAAAATGTATATAAAGATGTGTCAAGAAAAATATATAAAGTACACGAAGTATTATTCTGTTATTACTGAATTTAAGTCACGTAAGTTGTGCGTATAGTCGCGCGCGCGCGCGCGATTTTCATATACATATATTTACACAGTCAATGTGAATATTTGTTTTTAATTATATTATTTATATATAAGTATCTTTATTATTTATGAGAAGAGACTACAAAAGCGTTTGTACGTATTTGTTTTGTCTATAGATTTATAAGAGATTTGTTTAAATAAATTTTATTATATAAAAATAGAGCGCTGTGTTAACAGTTAATTAACCATTTTTGCATAGAAAAGGTAAGTAAATTAATCTTTGCACAGTTTGCAAATTGATTGCAACACGCTTGCCAAAAAGGTATCATCTTGTCCACAATGAGATTTATTTCATTTCAGTTTTATTTTTCACATTTTTTCTCGCTTCACGCGACGTTTTATACATAGACACACAAACATTTTGCAAGCGCCAACATTTGCGCGTAACAGAATAAAATCCGATTTCAAAACGCGCGAAAAGAATAAAACTTTTATACATGACAAAAGTTTATTAAAAAGCTTCAGTCAACGTTTATCACAAATGTATAATGTACGTGTATTTGTTACACAAATATATAATTCATTAATACCAATCACTCAATGTATCAAATAAATCAAAAAGTTCGTTGTCAATATTTGAATCTATATTTATGCACAAGATACAATAAAAAATCTTTCTTGTTGCTTTATTTATTCCAGATGGATCGTGATAATTCTTCACAGAATTAACGAGTGATTTGTAACAAAGGATTTTTATTGAAGCGTGGAAGAGCGACAGGATTCTCGAAACTCTTTTTCAAAAATAATTAATCGTCTGCAAATATCCGAAAAATAATAGAATAACATTGAAAAAGTAACACGAAATCGAATTCTTTCGAGATTTTCCATTTAAATGCTTCAAAAACATATTCTCAATTAAATTGTGTGTGTGTGTGTTAAATTTATACATAAAAAATGTAAAGAATACAATTACACATACGCACACATGTACGCAAATATAATAACGCATTCTTACATACTTGAAATAATTTTTTGCAATCTGATGCGCCAAATTAATTTGGTTTATCAAATGCTTCGAATATACTGTAGCGGGATCGTTAATGTGACAGTGAGCATCAGCTTCGTTTTCCGTCAGAAGGATGCAATTCCAGGGCGACCATTCGATATCCTTCTTATATCTAACCAATCTCAGAAAAAAGAGATCTTGGTTCTTGCTAACCACCGATTGACCGCGCCAAATGTTATTAACTAAATGATAAATATCGTGTTCTTGCATCATAAATGCCAAAAAGGAAACTGAGCCCCGACGTTCCTCCTCGGTTCGCACGTAATTCAATATAAACACATAAGGATCGAAATTTATGTGCGCGATATTGCGTCGACTTAGAGAACTGCAATCTGGAGAAAGGTAAACACGCTCAGGAACATTTATATAATTAATCACATTTAAAAGGTGTGTTCGCATGAATATGCAGGTAAGTGTGTAAAATGTAATATTCGTACACACTGTTTATACTCACTGGCGCAAACTAACAGCTTATTTGTTCTGGTGTGCGATAGGAATTTATCGTACGGCACTAGTTTGAAACAACTCCGACAAAATTTTGTTTTTATCTCTAAAGGTTCTCTCAATTCGCTGCTCTCGGAGATTTCGTCGACGCATTCGCATCCGCAGACACTGTGCATTTTCACAAAATTCACGTAAGAATCTATGCGACGAGAACACATTTATTATATTATTGTAATAAAAACGAGATAAAAAAAATTAAATTATTAAAAAAATTATTTAAAAAAATTAAATATTCAATCGAAACACGAATTATTTTTTTTTTATAATAATAGAAATATATTCTCTCATTTTCCTATTATTAATATACGCAGTTTTCTCTATTTTTGAAAATAGCAATGATACAACATAATTTTAAAGAAAGAGAGAGAGAGAGAGAGAGAGAGAGAGAGAGAGAGAGAAAGGGAGTTATGAAATCTTGCGTGTCTTACACGTTATCCTTTCATTTAGATAATCCAAGGATAAATTCTTCATCTCTCGATTGAGCAACGCGATTTCCTGATCCAACAGATACAACAGGTCAATAGCCTCGTTACAAATATGCATGCCGAGCGACTGCTTTAACTTTATTAACAGTTTCTTCCGTTCTTCCGCACCGATATCTCGATTACTCAATGCGTCATAAAATCCTTTGAACTCACGCGCCTTTTGAGTTCTCAACGTAATCATCTCGGTAACTTGGCCCTTGTAGCCGATCCATCGCGAAGATTTGCAATTCAACGTTAGAAATCTGAGAACCCGTTGCTTTCTGCGCGAACTCTTGACCACCTGTTTACGTTTGTCAATGTGATTGAACATTTCCACTGTCTTTTCCAGGATCCTATAACCCTCGGCACGCTGTGCGGCTTTGAAGAATCGCGATTTTACATCCTTCAGTCGGTCGAATCTCCACTTCTCGATCAGACTGTAGAGCATGTCGAAATCCGCTCTTGATCGCGGATAAATTTGACGAAGAATGTTCTGTTTATGTCGCATTCTGTATAAAAAGAAAAAAAAACGAGATACGTAAAACCGGCGCGTCTGTACGAATCAGAAAAATTGAAATACAAGACATGTTTCAATTTCTATTTGTATTTCTGAAAATATTACTTGTTTGCTATTGCTTTTTCTTCTTCGTGCTTAGCATATTGTTCGAGCATGGTGCGATAGGTTTGCGCGTATTCTCTTGTGTACTTCGACAACTTGTACGCTCGATAATTGCGTTGAATAATACGCGCTTGTTCGTCCAAGTTTCTCCATGTTTTATAAGGTTTTACAGTCACGTACTTATCCATTTCGTTCGATATGTTACAGTCGTTTCTACATAGATGTAACATATGTAAAAAATAGTTTTAATTTATTATATTTTTTTCAGTATTTATTAATTGCGCACTGAAGAGAAACCAAATTAAGATAACGTGTGTTTATTAAAAGTAAATTTTTTTTTTTAATGAAACTCATGTATTCGTTACAACTCTGCAATCTAAGCGACTTCTTTAACGGACATTTTTAACATTCCGATTGTTAAACGTGTCTTAGAATCCTTTTGAATTCACGCAATATCATGAGACTCTTACTAGCCTCTTTTTATTATTTCCTTTGATTTCATGCCGTTACATTGTGGAGAATTGTTCCTATTTTCTGCAAGAAAGCAAACGCGAACAGGAATTTTATCTTTAGTACCGCCACATTTGCGTTGCACGATGTCGCAACGATTGTGTTACTCCGTCCTTCGTTTGTACACATTGCACCGCTCTGCTGCATACGTTGTTCCGTGATATCTGCCTCGGCGGTGGCCCGGTCTGAGAAGCCGCATTTACATATTCTATTCCGGTAATTTTGTGTCGCCATCCACCCAGATAAGGCTTGGGAATTTTTTGATCTTCTATTCCGTTCGATAAGACCATTTTACAGAACAGCGCGTTCTAAACTTGTATACTGAATTGTTCTTTTTCTATTGCCATTTATACATTCGATAGTAAATTTCTCGAACATATGTAAATCCACGATCGTTATTGTTTTTTTTTCTAAATAAGCGTTTTCAGCTTACAATCGATCAAATCGTGTATACATATGTAAATTTTTTTTCATTTATGTACATTAGAAAAACAATTTCGGACGTGATATGAAAAATAAATTCAAGTTATTGTTTTGCATACCTTTTTTCTTATTTTTATTTCTTAACAACTTTATAAAAGTTTGAAAATTTTGGTTATATTACATGTGTAAAAGATTGGATGCAAATATTAAGAGAAAGCAAGAAAAGATGATTTGTTCTGCTATTGGTTATATTCCTAATCTCTTGCGCACGGACAAGCTGCTACTTTCGATCATGTTAATCAGAGCTAACGTCAACGTGCACGTTGTTTTTTGAAACAAAACTTAATGAATGCAATATGTTACTTTCTTTTTTCATCTTATTATTATCTCTTTCTCTTCGCTATTGTCTCACTTTTGCACTTCACGGCTTCACTTTTTCGCCACTTAGACGACAAAAGCGCTGTTAATCTCCATTACGGCATGAAAACTCCTTGGCAGTTCAAATATCTGATTGGTTACTACTGCACAAGTTCGATAACGTGATTATGTAGTGAAAAAAATGCTGAATGTGAGTAAAAATATTATAAATGATTTTTTTATTTGTGGTTTTTCTTCGTTCTTCCGCAGAGAGAAGAATGAGAGCGGCCACGACCATAAGAGTTTTTACAATCGCTTTTCCGTTTCATACGCTAGCGCGTGTTCACGAGTGGTGCACATTGGCAACTACGTAGCAATGTCCACGAGCGACTTATCGATCGGACGCAATGTCCAAACGTGAAAATGGTTCTATTCCGTGCTATGTGCGGCGGACATGGTTCTATTCCGTGTTATGTAAACGTACGCCGGTATACAGACTTGTATGTACAGTGCGGAGCACCATATCGTGCGCCGTGAGGAGAAGTAGTTCTCCTCCAGCTGCCTCCTACTAGCACGCGCCAGCGACCCGAGATTTAATCCATATGTACCGGCACGGTTACCGATGACACATACCGACGCGGTTACCAATAAT